GGAAATCTCGGGGATTCGGGGTCTGGGTGTTGGCGCTGAGCGCAGACTGTCTGGTTCGGACTGTGACTCCCTCCAAGCCCCCATCACTCTCCGGCGGCCTCACGGTCTCACGGGCCAGCAGAGGGCGCCCCGGCGGGGCAGGCAGTTCACTCCCCGCCCCTGCTGCTCTGCGGGGGGCTGGCCAGGACTTACGGGGTGTAAGAAGGGAGAAGCCGGTGGAATCAAGATGGAAGGTGGCGAGGCTGACCCGGTCACCACGCCCCGCAGCGCCGAGCGGGCTCCTTCTTACGGAATAATTTATACAGATCACCTTTGTCCGCGGGCCGAGGCAGCCTCCCGTCCCCACCTCCCAGCCCAGCCCGGTTCGTCCCGGGTGGATGCAGATACACGTGTCTGCCTAGTCCGTTGCCAGCGGGGAAGGGAGGCCCGGAGGTGGGAAGTGGGGTTCCCTTTTCTTGTCCCCATCACATCTGTCTCCGGAGGCGGTGGCCTCCTGACATGAGCCAGCCCTTCGTTAGAGTCGGCGCAGTGCCTTCTGGACAACGATGTCCTGTTTTTCCATTCGTCCTGCACGTTTCTTTTTGAACTTTCAGCTTTTATTGAAATCTTGAGTTACCAGTGGTTCTCAAGCTTCTGGCCCTTTAAATACAGCTCCTCATGTTGTGACCCAACTATAACATTATTTTCGTTGCTACTTCATAACTGTCATGTTGCTACTGTGATGAATTGTCATGTAAAGATCTGATATGCAGGATGGTCTTAGGGACCCCTGTGAAAGGGTCGTTCGACCGCCAGAGGGGTCGCGACCCACAGGTTGAGAACCGCTGAGACTCCTGCCTGCTCACCCGCAGGCCCCCCGCCAGGTGCCCCGCCCAGGAGCAGAGCCCGCTGACTGTCTGCTCCCCCAGATCCGGACCCTGGCGTACTGCTCCCAGCTGGTCGGCGGGGTGTTGGTGGAACAAGGCCCGGCCAGGGCAGACGTGGGGGCGCGCCTGCTGGCAGTGTCCTCCCAGCTCAGCCGCTGCAGGACCATCCTTCGCCTCTTCGATGACTTGGCCATGTTTGTGTACACGAAGCACTATGGCCTGGGGACAGAGGTAAGGGGTGCAGCCCGCAGGGACTTGTCTAATGGCAACTGTGGGCATTTTGTTTTTTCAATTGTACTTTTTTTTAGATGATAAGATGTTCTCATTTGAACGAAATTTAAAAAGTAGCTAATACATTCGCACATTCCTAAAAACAATGTAATTTAAAAGTCTCTCTTTCCTAACGCCCCCAGTCCCGTTTTCCTCCTCAGAGGCAGCCACTGTTGTCAGCTTCTTCTGTTTCCTTCCTGAGATCTGTACCCTGACAGGCAAATACACAATTTTTTTTGTTTATTTGTTAATCCTCATCCGAGGATATTTTTTCCATTGATTTTTAGAGAGAGTGGGAGGGAGAGAGAGAGACAGAAAGAGAGAAACATCAATATGAGACAGACACATTGATTGGTTGCCGCCCGCACACACTTAACCAGGGCTGGGAATCGAACCTGCAACCCAAGTACATGCCCTTGACTGGAATCGAACCCGGACCCTTCTGTCTGAGGGCTGATGCTCTATCCATGGAGCCAAACCAGCCAGGGTGGCAATACACAATTTGACGTAAATAGTTGTGTGCCACTGACACTCTGGCCACTTGCTTTTTTCACTCGGCAGTACAACGTGGAGGGCATTCCGTATCAGACCAGAAAGGGTGCCTCCCTTTTTATGGCCGTGCCTGCGGTACTCTGGTATGTAGCTTGACAGCGGTTTGTTTAACCAACCCCTTGCTGATGGACATGCAGGTTATTTATATTTAGCTGGGTTAGCAGTACTGCATTATCCCACATGAGTGCCAGCTCTGAGCTCCTTACCAGGGAGTGAACTTGCTCCCCAGGGGCCCAGGAACGCCCCCCTAGGGTACCTGCAGCCTCAACTGGCCCTGCCTGGCTGGGTGCAGGAGGTGAGGTTTAGACCTCAGGGTTGGAGGGCAGGGGTACAGTACAGTGCAGCAGAGTCCTGCAGGTCCATGGCCTGAGGCGCGTCCCTATATGAGTTGGGGCAGGTGGCAGCTCACCCTGAGCACCTCAGTTTGCCTGTTTGCCAGAATGGTGACCACCCCTCTGGTTTGGGAGAGGGACCCATCTTGCAGCCTGGAGTTACCACCCCACCTAGCTCTGCCCCACCAGCTTCTCTGAGAACTGCCTGCCTGCTTGCTGGGAGCCGGTCCATCCTTGCTGCTTGACACAGTCGCTGCAGGGAAGACACATCTGCACAGCATATGTTTCAAGGGACCTGGCGTATATGACATACTGTTCTTAATGTTTGCTCACCTTCTTAGACCTATGTGTTTTAACCAAGGTCACCTCTCTGAGAAGGTTGTTTCCCCAGGTAGGGATTTTCCCCTGAAGTTAGGGAGGGAATAAAACCCCTTAACTAAGTGCCAGGTGGGTAATTAAAAA